TTTTTAAGAAAAAAACCTTTCTTCAATTGGAATTATTGTTATAATTCAAAAATTATCTTGTTAGGACGTGTTCTTGACTTGATACGAACGCAATCTAATAGGTCTTGGATTGTTTTCACCGTATACAACTTAATAGGTCTTGAGTTGTTACTAATCTATCCATTTCTTTCCATTCACATATCATTTGTGTTGCTATTCTAGCTTAATTTACCTAAAAATTACCCCACTCACTAAATCAAGCCCATACACGCATCATAAGTGGTATCAGAGCCTAGTTCCGATTGGGTTTACTATGTTCTTGTTCAAAAAAAAAATTCTGCTAAGTTTGTTTGAATTCAGTTGTTGTCCAAAAATGTTGCGCAAGCTATATGATGAAGAAGATATAGAGGAAGAGAAAATTGAAAAAGATGAGGAAGAAGATTCCGGTCCCATCTACGACACCGATGGAGAAGGGGAATTTTGTGAAAGAATAAATTTCTTGGTTGAAGAGGAATTTATTGAAGAAATTGAAGAAGGAACTAATTTTGTGATCGGATTGAGGCAATTGTGGAAGAAATCAATTTTGTTGATATGCACAAAATTGTTGAAGAAATGGTGATTTTTGTTGAACAACTAAAATCATTCCGAGAGCTCACAGCCTTGAGAACCAATGACTGTAAGTGCCACAAAAATTCAGGTTCTCATATCTTTTATGAACACAATTCTTTTTCTAAAGTGTGGGGGATTTCCATTTTTCATCTTTATTTTCGTTTCAATGTGTGGGAGATTTTTACACTTTGGATGCCATGGAATGCTTATATTTTGCATTTTGAAGGCCTTAGTGACAACAAGAAGTACGGTGAGAGGTTGGATTTTGCTAATTATGATCTTGATAGTGATGTTTTTGGTTTCTCTTCGTTAATTGATAAAAAGGAGAAAAAAGACATGCATATTACTTTTGATAAAATGTTTTGTGCAATTAGAGATGTTGACTTTTCACCCAAGACTCAAAAACAGCAAGACCAATTATTTTTAGATGATGGCAGAATTTTGTATGCTCCAAAAGGCAATATGATGATTTCCAAAACAAGATGTGTTCATGGTGGTAGCAATCAGTCACGAAAAAAGACATTGTGTGACAATTCGTATGCCAATTTTTTGTGTTGTCCAAAAACAAAAGATATCTTATTTAATTCTTCATTCGTTGCTCAAAAACACCAAGAGTGAAATCTTGAAGTTTGTGGTGAAATAAAGACGAACGATGGTATCCATCTTTCTACAAACCATCTTTCTACGAGCAAAGAAGAAAGAATTAATCAATATGAAGATCTAAGTCCTAAGTATTTACATGGGAGGATGCTCATGAAGTTTGGACTCATATTCTTTTGGTGTGCCTTAAATTGGGAAACCATGATATTGAGGCGTACTGCTCATCAACTTACAAATACAAACCATGATCCATTCTTTAAAATGATTACAATTAACCATTTAAATTATTGCAAGGTTAATTTGCAGGGCCGAGTTCATGGGAATGTATGGAAGTGGTTTTTCATCCACAAATGGAAGATACGATTAGGATTGAATTTGGCGAGTTATTTGAGTTATTTGAAGAAGAACATGTGTATGTGGAGAAAAGACCAAGTTGGAATAAAGAAAAGGTCACATTATGCAATAAAAATTTGTTTTCAAGACTTGCTGTCAGGGAAGGTTCGTATGGGGGAACAACACAATTTGGTTCTTACTGAATTGAGGACAATTCCTTTCGAAGAAGGAGGGAATGATCCGTATATGGATAATGAAGGCCCAAAAGGCTATGGTAGCTTAATGTTGGCTAGAAAGTTGTTTGGGCTTAATGGCCTATGGGGTATGCATGGTGACATAGTTGATGGATTAGGGTTTTCATAATTAAATTAATAAAAGTTTAATAAATCCAAGACTTCATTTATTGATGGATTCAAAGCTAGGGTGATTATGGAGGCATTTGGAAGGGTATCATTGATGGCTCTCTTTAAACTTTGGGAGTTACACTATTATCATTGATGGATCTCTTTAAACTTTGGGAGTTACACTCTTATCATTGATGGTTCTCTTTAATCCTTGGGAGTTACACTCTACATCTTCTCATAACCAATTACTAGCAATTGAAGACTAATTGAAGACATGGATGTTTTTTTGTCATTCTTAAGTGTGGTAGACGTTTTTTTGTGTTATTTCAAGAGTTTCCTTAAATTTCATTTACTAGTTTTAATGAATAATTGGTTGGTTGGCTTGTAACCACCATGTTTGTAATAAAGGCTTCATATAAAGCCAAGTTTATGCATGGGAAAGTGAATAGACAAATTTTTAAGAAAAAAACCTTTCTTCAATTGGAATTATTGTTATAATTCAAAAATTATCTTGTTAGGACGTGTTCTTGACTTGATACGAACGCAATCTAATAGGTCTTGGATTGTTTTCACCGGTATACAACTTAATAGGTCTTGAGTTGTTACTAATCTATCCATTTCTTTCCATTCACATATCATTTGTGTTGCTATTCTAGCTTAATTTACCTAAAAATTACCCCACTCACTAAATCAAGCCCATACACGCATCATAAGTGGTATCAGAGCCTAGTTCCGATTGGGTTTAACTAGGTTCTTGTTCAAAAAAAAAATTCTGCTAAGTTTGTTTGAATTCAGTTGTTGTCCAAAAATGTTGCGCAAGCTATATGATGAAGAAGATATAGAGGAAGAGAAAATTGAAAAAGATGAGGAAGAAGATTCCGGTCCCATCTACGACACCGATGGAGAAGGGGAATTTTGTGAAAGAATAAATTTCTTGGTTGAAGAGGAATTTATTGAAGAAATTGAAGAAGGAACTAATTTTGTGATCGGAGATTTGTTGAGGCAATTGTGGAAGAAATCAATTTTGTTGATATGCACAAAATTGTTGAAGAAATGGTGATTTTTGTTGAACAACTAAAATCATTCCGAGAGATCACAACCTTGAGAACCAATGACTGTAAGTGCCACAAAAATTCAGGTTCTCATATCTTTTATGAACACAATTCCTTTTCTAAAGTGTGGGGGATCTCCATTTTTCATCTTTATTTTCGTTTCAATGTGTGGGAGATTTTTACACTTTGGATGCCATGGAATGCTTATATTTTGCATTTTGAAGGCCTTAGTGACAAGAAGAAGTACGGTGAGAGGTTGGATTTTGCTAATTAGGATCTTGATAGTGATGTTTTTGGTTTGTCTTCGTTAATTGATCAAAAGGAGAAAAAAGACATGCATATTACTTTTGATAAAATGTTTTGTGCAATTAGAGATGTAGACTTTTCACTCAAGACTCAAAAACAGCAAGACCAATTATTTTTAGAGCATGGCAGAATTTTGTATGCTCCAAAAGGCGATATGATGATTTCCAAAACAAGATGTGTTCATGGTGGTAGAAATCAGTCACGAAAAAAGACATTGTTTGACAATTCGTATGCCAGTTTTTTGTGTTGTCCAAAAACAAAAGATATCTTATTTAATTCTTCATTCGTTGTTCAAAAACACCAAGAGCGAAGGCCTGAAATTTGTGGTGAAATAAAGACGAACGATGGTATCCATCTTTCTACAAACCATCTTTCTACGAGCAAAGAAGAAAGAATTAATCAATATGAAGATCTAAGTCCTAAGTATTTACATGGGAGGATGCTCATGAAGTTTGGACTCATATTCTTTTGGTGTGCCTTAAATTGGGAAACCATGATATTGAGGCGTACTGCTCATCAACTTACAAATACAAACCATGATCCATTCTTTAAAATGACTACAATTAACCATTTAAATTATTGCAAGGTTAATTTGCAGGGCCGAGTTCATGGGAATGTATGGAAGTGGTTTTTCATCCACAAATGGAAGATACGATTAGGATTGAATTTGGCGAGTTATTTGAGTTATTTGAAGAAGAACATGTGTATGTGGAGAAAAGACCAAGTTGGAATAAAGAAAAGGTCACATTATGCAATAAAAATTTGTTTTCAAGACTTGCTGTCAGGGAAGGTTCGTATGGGGGAACAACACAATTTGGTTCTTACTGAATTGAGGACAATTCCTTTCGAAGAAGGAGGGAATGATCCGTATATGGATAATGAACGCCCAAAAGGCTATGGGTAACTTAATGTTGGGCTAGAAAGTTGTTTGGGCTTAATGGCCTATGGGGTATGCATGGTGACATAGTTGATGGATTAGGGTTTTCATAATTAAATTAATAAAAGTTTAATAAATCCAAGACTTCATTTATTGATGGATTCAAAGCTAGGGTGATTATGGAAGCATTTGGAAGGGTATCATTGATGGCTCTCTTTAAACTTTGGGAGTTACACTATTATCATTGATGGATCTCTTTAAACTTTGGGAGTTACACTCTTATCATTGATGGTTCTCTTTAATCCTTGGGAGTTACACTCTACATCTTCTCATAACCAATTACTAGCAATTGAAGACTAATTGAAGACATGGATGTTTTTTTGTCATTCTTAAGTGTGGTAGACGTTTTTTTGTGTTGTTTCAAGAGTTTCCTTAAATTTCATTTACTAGTTTTAATGAATAATTGGTTGGTTGGCTTGTAACCACCATGTTTGCAATAAAGGCTTCATATAAAGCCAAGTTTATGCATGGGAAAGTGAATAGACAAATTTTTAAGAAAAAAACCTTTCTTCAATTGGAATTATTGTTAAAATTCAAATATCTTGTTAGGACGTGTTCTTGACTTGATACGAACGCAATCTAATAGGTCTTGGATTGTTTTCACCGGTATACAACTTAATAGGTCTTGAGTTGTTACTAATCTATCCATTTTTTCCGTTCACATATCATTTGTGGTTGCTATTCTAGCTTAATTTACCTAAAAATTACCCCACTCACTAAATCAAGCCCATACACGCATCATAAGTGGTATCAGAGCCTAGTTCCGATTGGGTTTAACTAGGGTTCTTGTTCAAAAAAAAAATTCTGCTAAGTTTGTTTGAATTCAGTTGTTGTCCAAAAATGTTGCGCAAGCTATATGATGAAGAAGATATAGAGGAAGAGAAAATTGAAAAAGATGAGGAAGAAGATTCCGGTCCCATCTACGACACCGATGGAGAAGGGGAATTTTGTGAAAGAATAAATTTCTTGGTTGAAGAGGAATTTATTGAAGAAATTGAAGAAGGAACTAATTTTGTGATCGGAGATGAAATTGTTGAGGCAATTGTGGAAGAAATCAATTTTGTTGATATGCACAAAATTGTTGAAGAAATGGTGATTTTTGTTGAACAACTAAAATCATTCCGAGAGATCACAACCTTGAGAACCAATGACTGTAAGTGCCACAAAAATTCAGGTTCTCATATCTTTTATGAACACAATTCCTTTTCTAAAGTGTGGGGGATTTCCATTTTTCATCTTTATTTTCGTTTCAATGTGTGGGAGATTTTTACACTTTGGATGCCATGGAATGCTTATATTTTGCATTTTGAAGGCCTTAGTGACAACAAGAAGTACGGTGAGAGGTTGGATTTTGCTAATTATGATCTTGATAGTGATGTTTTTGGTTTGTCTTCGTTAATTGATCAAAAGGAAAAAAAGACATGCATATTACTTCTGATAAAATGTTTTGTGCAATTAGAGATGTTGACTTTTCACCCAAAACTCAAAAACAGTAAGACCAATTATTTTTAGATGATGGCAGAATTTTATATGCTCCAAAAGGCGATATGATGATTTCCAAAACAAGATGTGTTCATGGTGGTAGAAATCAGTCACGAAAAAAGACATTGTGTGATAATTCGTATGCCAGTTTTTTGTGTTGTCCAAAAACAAAAGATATCTTATTTAATTCTTCATTCGTTGTTCAAAAACACCAAGAGCGAAGGCCTGAAATTTGTGGTGAAATAAAGACGAACGATGGTATCCATCTTTCTACAAACCATCTTTCTACGAGCAAAGAAGAAAGAATTAATCAATATGAAGATCTAAGTCCTAAGTATTTACATGGGAGGATGCTCATGAAGTTTGGACTCATATTCTTTTGGTGTGCCTTAAATTGGGAAACCATGATATTGAGGCGTACTGCTCATCAACTTACAAATACAAACCATGATCCATTCTTTAAAATGACTACAATTAACCATTTAAATTATTGCAAGGTTAATTTGCAGGGCCGAGTTCATGGGAATGTATGGAAGTGGTTTTTCATCCACAAATGGAAGATACGATTAGGATTGAATTTGGCGAGTTATTTGAGTTATTTGAAGAAGAACATGTGTATGTGGAGAAAAGACCAAGTTGGAATAAAGAAAAGGTCACATTATGCAATAAAAATTTGTTTTCAAGACTTGCTGTCAGGGAAGGTTCGTATGGGGGAACAACACAATTTGGTTCTTACTGAATTGAGGACAATTCCTTTCGAAGAAGGAGGGAATGATCCGTATATGGATAATGAAGGCCCAAAAGGCTATGGTAGCTTAATGTTGGGCTAGAAAGTTGTTTGGGCTTAATGGCCTATGGGGTATGCATGGTGACATAGTTGATGGATTAGGGTTTTCATAATTAAATTAATAAAAGTTTAATAAATCCAAGACTTCATTTATTGATGGATTCAAAGCTAGGGTGATTATGGAAGCATTTGGAAGGGTATCATTGATGGCTCTCTTTAAACTTTGGGAGTTACACTATTATCATTGATGGATCTCTTTAATCTTGGGAGTTACACTCTACATCTTCTCATAACCAATTACTAGCAATTGAAGACTAATTGAATGGATTTTTTTTGTCATTCTTAAGTGTGGTAGACGTTTTTTTGTGTTATTTCAAGAGTTTCCTTAAATTTCATTTACTAGTTTTAATGAATAATTGGTTGGTTGGCTTGTAACCACCATGTTTGTAATAAAGGCTTCATATAAAGCCAAGTTTATGCATGGGAAAGTGAATAGACAAATTTTTAAGAAAAAAACCTTTCTTCAATTGGAATTATTGTTATAATTCAAAAATTATCTTGTTAGGACGTGTTCTTGACTTGATACGAACGCAATCTAATAGGTCTTGGATTGTTTTCACCGGTATACAACTTAATAGGTCTTGAGTTGTTACTAATCTATCCATTTCTTTCCATTCACATATCATTTGTGGTTGCTATTCTAGCTTAATTTACCTAAAAATTACCCCACTCACTAAATCAAGCCCATACACGCATCATAAGTGGTATCAGAGCCTAGTTCCGATTGGGTTTAACTAGGTTCTTGTTCAAAAAAAAAATTCTGCTAAGTTTGTTTGAATTCAGTTGTTGTCCAAAAATGTTGCGCAAGCTATATGATGAAGAAGATATAGAGGAAGAGAAAATTGAAAAAGATGAGGAAGAAGATTCCGGTCCCATCTACGACACCGATGGAGAAGGGGAATTTTGTGAAAGAATAAATTTCTTGGTTGAAGAGGAATTTATTGAAGAAATTGAAGAAGGAACTAATTTTGTGATCGGAGATGACATTGTTGAGGCAATTGTGGAAGAAATCAATTTTGTTGATATGCACAAAATTGTTGAAGAAATGGTGATTTTTGTTGAACAACTAAAATCATTCCGAGAGATCACAACCTTGAGAACCAATGACTGTAAGTGCCACAAAAATTCAGGTTCTCATATCTTTTATGAACACAATTCCTTTTCTAAAGTGTGGGGGATCTCCATTTTTCATCTTTATTTTCGTTTCAATGTGTGGGAGATTTTTACACTTTGGATGCCATGGAATGCTTATATTTTGCATTTTGAAGGCCTTAGTGACAAGAAGAAGTACGGTGAGAGGTTGGATTTTGCTAATTATGATCTTGATAGTGATGTTTTTGGTTTGTCTTCGTTAATTGATCAAAAGGAGAAAAAAGACATGCATATTACTTTTGATAAAATGTTTTGTGCAATTAGAGATGTTGACTTTTCACCAAGACTCAAAAACAGCAAGACCAATTATTTTTAGATGATGGCAGAATTTTGTATGCTCCAAAAGGCGATATGATGATTTCCAAAACAAGATGTGTTCATGGTGGTAGCAATCAGTCACGAAAAAAGACATTGTGTGACAATTCGTATGCCAATTTTTTGTGTTGTCCAAAAACAAAAGATATCTTATTTAATTCTTCATTCGTTGTTCAAAAACACCAAGTGTGAAATCTTGAAGTTTGTGGTGAAATAAAGACGAACGATGGTATCCATCTTTCTACAAACCATCTTTCTACGAGCAAAGAAGAAAGAATTAATCAATATGAAGATCTAAGTCCTAAGTATTTACATGGGAGGATGCTCATGAAGTTTGGACTCATATTCTTTTGGTGTGCCTTAAATTGGGAAACCATGATATTGAGGCGTACTGCTCATCAACTTACAAATACAAACCATGATCCATTCTTTAAAATGACTACAATTAACCATTTAAATTATTGCAAGGTTAATTTGCAGGGCCGAGTTCATGGGAATGTATGGAAGTGGTTTTTCATCCACAAATGGAAGATACGATTAGGATTGAATTTGGCGAGTTATTTGAGTTATTTGAAGAAGAACATGTGTATGTGGAGAAAAGACCAAGTTGGAATAAAGAAAAGGTCACATTATGCAATAAAAATTTGTTTTCAAGACTTGCTGTCAGGGAAGGTTCGTATGGGGGAACAACACAATTTGGTTCTTACTGAATTGAGGACAATTCCTTTCGAAGAAGGAGGGAATGATCCGTATATGGATAATGAAGGCCCAAAAGGCTATGGGTAGCTTAATGTTGGGCTAGAAAGTTGTTTGGGCTTAATGGCCTATGGGGTATGCATGGTGACATAGTTGATGGATTAGGGTTTTCATAATTAAATTAATAAAAGTTTAATAAATCCAAGACTTCATTTATTGATGGATTCAAAGCTAGGGTGATTATGGAAGCATTTGGAAGGGTATCATTGATGGCTCTCTTTAAACTTTGGGAGTTACACTATTATCATTGATGGATCTCTTTAAACTTTGGGAGTTACACTCTTATCATTGATGGTTCTCTTTAATCCTTGGGAGTTACACTCTACATCTTCTCATAACCAATTACTAGCAATTGAAGACTAATTGAAGAATGGATGTTTTTTTGTCATTCTTAAGTGTGGTAGACGTTTTTTTGTGTTATTTGAAGAGTTTCCTTAAATTTCATTTACTAGTTTTAATGAATAATTGGTTGGTTGGCTTGTAACCACCATGTTTGTAATAAAGGCTTCATATAAAGCCAAGTTTATGCATGGGAAAGTGAATAGACAAATTTTTAAGAAAAAAACCTTTCTTCAATTGGAATTATTGTTATAATTCAAAAATTATCTTGTTAGGACGTGTTCTTGACTTGATACGAACGCAATCCAATAGGTCTTGGATTGTTTTCACCGGTATACAACTTAATAGGTCTTGAGTTGTTACTAATCTATCCATTTCTTTCCATTCACATATCATTTGTGGTTGCTATTCTAGCTTAATTTACCTAAAAATTACCCCACTCACTAAATCAAGCCCATACACGCATCATAAGTGGTATCAGAGCCTAGTTCCGATTGGGTTTAACTAAGTTCTTGTTCAAAAAAAAAATTCTGCTAAGTTTGTTTGAATTCAGTTGTTGTCCAAAAATGTTGCGCAAGCTATATGATGAAGAAGATATAGAGGAAGAGAAAATTGAAAAAGATGAGGAAGAAGATTCCGGTCCCATCTACGACACCGATGGAGAAGGGGAATTTTGTGAAAGAATAAATTTCTTGGTTGAAGAGGAATTTATTGAAGAAATTGAAGAAGGAACTAATTTTGTGATCGGAGATGAATTGTTGAGGCAATTGTGGAAGAAATCAATTTTGTTGATATGCACAAAATTGTTGAAGAAATGGTGATTTTTGTTGAACAACTAAAATCATTCCGAGAGATCACAACCTTGAGAACCAATGACTGTAAGTGCCACAAAAATTCAGGTTCTCATATCTTTTATGAACACAATTCCTTTTCTAAAGTGTGGGGGATCTCCATTTTTCATCTTTATTTTCGTTTCAATGTGTGGGAGATTTTTACACTTTGGATGCCATGGAATGCTTATATTTTGCATTTTGAAGGCCTTAGTGACAAGAAGTACGGTGAGAGGATGGATTTTGCTAATTATGATCTTGATAGTGATGTTTTTGGTTTGTCTTCGTTAATTGATCAAAAGGAGAAAAAAGACATGCATATTACTTTTGATAAAATGTTTTGTGCAATTAGGGATGTAGACTTTTCACACAAGACTCAAAAACAGCAAGACCAATTATTTTTAGATGATGGCAGAATTTTGTATGCTCCAAAAGGCGATATGATGATTTCCAAAACAAGATGTGTTCATGGTGGTAGCAATCAGTCACGAAAAAAGACATTGTGTGACAATTCGTATGCCAATTTTTTGTGTTGTCCAAAAACAAAAGATATCTTATTTAATTCTTCATTCGTTGTTCAAAAACACCAAGAGCGAAGGCTTGAAGTTTGTGGTGAAATAAAGACGAACGATGGTATCCATCTTTCTACAAACCATCTTTCTACGAGCAAAGAAGAAAGAATTAATCAATATGAAGATCTAAGTCCTAAGTATTTACATGGGAGGATGCTCATGAAGTTTGGACTCATATTCTTTTGGTGTGCCTTAAATTGGGAAACCATGATATTGAGGCGTACTGCTCATCAACTTACAAATACAAACCATGATCCATTCTTTAAAATGACTACAATTAACCATTTAAATTATTGCTTGCAGGTTAATTTGCAGGGCCGAGTTCATGGGAATGTATGGAAGTGGTTTTTCATCCACAAATGGAAGATACGATTAGGATTGAATTTGGCGAGTTATTTGAGTTATTTGAAGAAGAACATGTGTATGTGGAGAAAAGACCAAGTTGGAATAAAGAAAAGGTCACATTATGCAATAAAAATTTGTTTTCAAGACTTGCTGTCAGGGAAGGTTCGTATGGGGGAACAACACAATTTGGTTCTTACTGAATTGAGGACAATTCCTTTCGAAGAAGGAGGGAATGATCCGTATATGGATAATGAAGGCCCAAAAGGCTATGGGTAGCTTAATGTTGGCTAGAAAGTTGTTTGGGCTTATGGCCTATGGGGTATGCATGGTGACATAGTTGATGGATTAGGGTTTTCATAATTAAATTAATAAAAGTTTAATAAATCCAAGACTTCATTTATTGATGGATTCAAAGCTAGGGTGATTATGGAGCATTTGGAAGGGTATCATTGATGGCTCTCTTTAAACTTTGGGAGTTACACTATTATCATTGATGGATCTCTTTAAACTTTGGGAGTTACACTCTTATCATTGATGGTTCTCTTTAATCCTTGGGAGTTACACTCTACATCTTCTCATAACCAATTACTAGCAATTGAAGACTAATTGAAGACATGGATGTTTTTTTGTCATTCTTAAGTGTGGTAGATGTTTTTTTGTGTTATTTGAAGAGTTTCCTTAAATTTCATTTACTAGTTTTAATGAATAATTGGTTGGTTGGCTTGTAACCACCATGTTTGTAATAAAGGCTTCATAAAAAGCCAAGTTTATGCATGGGAAAGTGAATAGACGAATTTTTAAGAAAAAAACCTTTCTTCAATTGGAATTATTGTTATAATTCAAAAATTATCTTGTTAGGACGTGTTCTTGACTTGATACGAACGCAATCCAATAGGTCTTGGATTGTTTTCACCGGTATACAACTTAATAGGTCTTGAGTTGTTACTAATCTATCCATTTCTTTCCATTCACATATCATTTGTGGTTGCTATTCTAGTTTAATTTACCTAAAAATTACCCCACACACTAAATCAAGCCCATACACGCATCATAAGTGGTATCAGGCCTAGTTCCGATTGGTTTAACTAAGTTCTTGTTCAAAAAAAAAATTCTGCTAAGTTTGTTTGAATTCAGTTGTTGTCCAAAAATGTTGCGCAAGCTATATGATGAAGAAGATATAGAGGAAGAGAAAATTGAAAAAGATGAGGAAGAAGATTCCGGTCCCATCTACGACACCGATGGAGAAGGGGAATTTTGTGAAAGAATAAATTTCTTGGTTGAAGAGGAATTTATTGAAGAAATTGAAGAAGGAACTAATTTTGTGATCGGAGATGAAATTGTTGAGGCAATTGTGGAAGAAATCAATTTTGTTGATATGCACAAAATTGTTGAAGAAATGGTGATTTTTGTTGAACAACTAAAATCATTCCGAGAGATCACAACCTTGAGAACCAATGACTGTAAGTGCCACAAAAATTCAGGTTCTCATATCTTTTATGAACACAATTCCTTTTCTAAAGTGTGGGGGATCTCCATTTTTCATCTTTATTTTCATTTCAATGTGTGGGAGATTTTTACACTTTGGATGCCATGGAATGCTTATATTTTGCATTTTGAAGGCCTTAGTGACAAGAAGTACGGTGAGAGGATGGATTTTGCTAATTATGATCTTGATAGTGATGTTTTTGGTTTGTCTTCGTTAATTGATCAAAAGGAGAAAAAAGACATGCATATTACTTTTGATAAAAAGTTTTGTGCAATTAGAGATGTAGACTTTTCACTCAAGACTCACAAACAGCAAGACCAATTATTTTTAGATGATGGCAGAATTTTGTATGCTCCAAAAGGCGATATGATGATTTCCAAAACAAGATGTGTTCATGGTGGTAGCAATCAGTCACGAAAAAAGACATTGTGTGGCAATTCGTATGCCAATTTTTTGTGTTGTCCAAAAACAAAAGATATCTTATTTAATTCTTCATTCGTTGTTCAAAAACACCAAGAGCGAAGGCTTGAAGTTTGTGGTGAAATAAAGACGAACGATGGTATCCATCTTTCTACAAACCATCTTTCTACGAGCAAAGAAGAAAGAATTAATCAATATGAAGATCTAAGTCCTAAGTATTTACATGGGAGGATGCTCATGAAGTTTGGACTCATATTCTTTTGGTGTGCCTTAAATTGGGAAACCATGATATTGAGGCGTACTGCTCATCAACTTACAAATACAAACCATGATCCATTTTAAAATGATAAAATGACTACAATTAACCATTTAAATTATTGCAAGGTTAATTTGCAGGGCCGAGTTCATGGGAATGTATGGAAGTGGTTTTTCATCCACAAATGGAAGATACGATTAGGATTGAATTTGGCGAGTTATTTGAGTTATTTGAAGAAGAACATGTGTATGTGGAGAAAAGACCAAGTTGGAATAAAGAAAAGGTCACATTATGCAATAAAAATTTGTTTTCAAGACTTGCTGTCAGGGAAGGTTCGTATGGGGGAACAACACAATTTGGTTCTTACTGAATTGAGGACAATTCCTTTCGAAGAAGGAGGGAATGATCCATATATGGATAATGAAGGCCCAAAAGGCTATGGGTAGCTTAATGTTGGGCTAGAAAGTTGTTTGGGCTTAATGGCCTATGGGGTATGCATGGTGACATAGTTGATGGATTAGGGTTTTCATAATTAAATTAATAAAAGTTTAATAAATCCAAGACTTCATTTATTGATGGATTCAAAGCTAGGGTGATTATGTGTCACACCCCGAAAACCGAAGGCGGAAACATTTCCGGGGTTGACTCCACGTAGAGTATCAAATCCAATGTACATAGTAAGTAAAGTAAATCAACCATTACATTACATATATGAAAGTTTTACATTTGTTTCAAAAGCATAAGTTATACAAGTGATACATAGTATATATGAACAATACAAAATGAGTCTTCTGAGAACTCCGTCTTCACACAAAAGGATCTTCGGGTACCTGTCTAACATGGACCTGAGAATACAAGCGGTTTGAAAATCAGCATAAAGCTGGTGAGTTCATAAGCGGTTAGTTTTTCTGAAAATGTACGAGTTCCTTTGTTTTCCTGAAAAGTGGTTATCCAAGAAAATCCCATATTTTCTTATGTAAAGTTAGTTTCCAAATCCGAAAGTAAAGTAAACGATGTTTAATTAAAACATGATTGTTCTTGTGAAATGTAATTCAATTGTTTAACTTATTACACTTCTCTAATTTCGTACTACTATTACTCAGGAAGAACCCCATGTTCTCCTGACTGTGTGTGTGTGAACTGTTACTACTTTCTGACTATGTTCGGTGTCCTTCCCAAGAAAACCCCATGTTTCCCTGACTGTGTGTATATCTTTACCGGTTTTGTTTATGTTCAGTGTTCTCCCCAGGAAAACCCCATGTTTCCCTGACTGTGTGTGTGTGTGTCTTTACTGGTTATGGTTATGTTCAGTGTTCTCCCCAGGAAAACCCCATGTTTCCCTGACTGTGTGTGTGTGTCTTTACTGGTTATGGTTATGTTCAGTGTTCTTCCAGGAAAACCCCATGTTTTCCTGACTATGTGTGTATCTGCAATCCCTAAATGTACATTAGCTTTACTACGTACATAAAGCTAGTAAATGAGTCTGAAACGTTAATAATCTAGATTGCGAGTCCTTAACCATACTTAGACTGGATATGACTCGGACCATGGTCAGTATCCTTTTTATGACTTTTGTCACCCTTGAACCATTCGGTTCGGCTGTAGCTAGCAGCCAGGTGTGGGATTGTCAGTCCCGTATAGATCTATACACTCAAGCCACGCTCTCCTACGAACGGAGATTCTGGTTACAGGGTTAGTCCCCACTATCTCGTGCCATGGAAGTGTTACAAGGACGTGTCTCCAATCATTAAGATTACTCTTTACTTTTCGACTAGGAAAGTAGTATTTACAACTGACTATATTCTACGTACCTGTCCTTTACACTCGAGCCTAGGTGTTTTATTAAGGACATTACACTCGAGCCTAGGTGTTATTTAACGATGGCTGTCCTTTACACTCTCCCCTAGGTGTA